ATAATAATAGAAATATTCATTGGACGCAGGGCAATGCCCCTTTTAAATGTCGGGGCCCACCATTGGATGCAGGACTATCATCATCATCATCATCATCATCATCATCATCATCATCATTCCAAGTGAAGAGACCCAGCTCTTTGAGGGATGAGTAATAATAATAATAATAATAATAATAATAATAATAATAATAGAAATGTTAATTGGACACAGGGCAATGCCGTTTTTAAATGGCAGGCCCCACCATTGGATGCAGGACTATCATCATCATCATCATCATCATCATCATCATCATTCCAAGTGAAGAGGAAATGTTCATTGTGGACCCAGCTCTTTGAGGGATGAGTAATAATAATAATAATAATAATAATAATAATAATAATAATAATAGAAATATTTATTGGATGCAGGGCAATGCCCCTTTTAAATGTTGGAGCCCACCATTGGATGCAGGACTATCATCATCATCATCATCATCATCATCATCATTCCAAGTGAAGAGGAAATGTTCATTGTGGACCCAGCTCTTTGAGGGATAAGATAATAATAATAATAATAATAATAATAATAATAGAAATATTTATTGGATGCAGGGCAATGCCCCTTTTAAATGTTGGAGCCCACCATTGGATGCAGGACTATCATCATCATCATCATCATCATCATCATCATTCCAAGTGAAGAGGAAATGTTCATTGTGGACCCAGCTCTTTGAGGGATGAGTAATAATAATAATAATAATAGAAATATTTATTGGATGCAGGGCAATGCCCCTTTTAAATGTTGGAGCCCACCATTGGATGCAGGACTATCATCATCATCATCATCATCATTCCAAGTGAAGAGGAAATGTTATTTGAGGACCCAGCTCTTTGAGGGATGAGAAATAATAATAATAATAATAGAAATATTCATTGGACACAGGGCAATGCCCCCTTTAAATGGTGGGGCCCACCATTAGATGCAGGACTATCTATTTATGACACTTATATGCCCCCGAAGGGGACTCAGAGCGGCTTACAACCGTATTATGCATTACTATATTGTACTATACCATTATACCGTAATATTATCTGTAATACTACATGTAATATAAAATATATAATTATAATGGCGTATTATTATTAGTAGTACTATATTGTATTACATTATATTATCAATATTGTATGTATACACAATATATTATATTGTATTATATTATTAGCACACTGCAGGAGACAAAGTGGAACTGTCTTCCTGGCCCCTCTAACTAGACGTCAGCTGTGACCAGCAGTGCTGTCGAATTCGAAGAGGCATGCATGGAGGGCGAAAGGGGGAAACATGGCAAGAGGAAGAAGGCGCATCAAGCCAACATCTGGAATCCGATGTCCTCAATGCGGGGGAACATGCGTGTCACTATGGGAGAACATGCATGACCCACCACCAAAACACCACATCTGGAAGACGATCATCCTCAAGCTACGAGGGATCACCTAAGTAAAGTGATCTCTTGTAGCTGTGTTAAGGATAGAGCAATATATATATATATATCTAATAGCCCACCTCTGGCCAGTTTGACTAGCCAAGAAGGGCAAGGGTCCAGGGCACAATACTAATATAAATAATAATATAATTAATATAATATAATATAAATATATTATAATAATGATGATGTATTGTCGAAGGTTTTCATGGCTGGAATCACTGGGTTGTTGTAGGGTTTTCAGGCTTTATTTATATCCGCCACAATAATACATGCAATTTAACAATAATCAATTAAATAATAATAATAAACACAATTTAACAATAATTAAAGGCATAACAAGGAAATATAATAAAATATATATATTTTAATATTAACAATAATGTGTAATAATGAATAAATAAATAAAATTCAATTATAATATGTAGAAATAATAATAATAACATGACCCGCCTCCCACTGTCGTTTAAGAGAGATGATATCGTGAAAGCGCAGTCCTCAAAGGTGAGCTCTAATGGGCTGGAGAAGGCCTCCTTCCTCTCTGGCTCCTCGCCTGTGCTTGCCTTCAAAGCTACTTCTCCTTCTTTCTCCTTCTCCTTCGTGGTGGTGTTGTTGTTGTTGTGTTGCTGCTGCTTCCCAGGGAGCCTCTGCTTATCTTGCCAACCGGGGCCTAAAAATAGTTGCTGCTCTTTGGGGCTGGAATGTGCCTGTTGGCCGGAGGAGGAGGAGGAAAGGCTTCGGAGGCCCCTTTGCAGCCCCATAAATCCCAGCCCCATTAAGCACCAGTGGCTTTCTCGGCTTCTCCCAGCCACCGAGCCTGGAAATGTCAATGGGTTTGTTTTCCTCTTTGGCAGAAGGTCAGCGCTCCCTTTGGCCTCCTCCGCAGACAAAGGACCCATCTATGCTGTCACATCATTATAATGAATGTGCTTGAACTAAATGGCAGTATGGGATCTCTTATTCTGAGGAGGGTGTTTCAGCAAAGGCTGGATGGCCCTCTGTTGGGAGGGATTGGATGGTGGGTGCGTCTTCCTTCCTGGCAGAAGGGGGTTGGGTTGGATGGCCTTTGGGGATCGCCTGGAGCTCTATGGGACATGGATAGACAAGCACTGATGTAGATACACACAGAAATGCACACTGGGGTTGGACTAGATGGCCTTTGGGGGTCCCCTGGAGCTCTATAGAGAGAGATAGACACGGATATATGTCCTGATGGAGATACACACACAAATGCAAACTGGGGGTTGGACTAGATGGCCTTTGGGGGTCCCTTGGAGCTCTATAGAGAGAGATAGACATGGATATATGTGTCGTGATGGAGATACACACACAAATGCACACTGGGGTTGGACTAGATGGCCTTTGGGGGTCCCTTGGAGCTCTATACAGAATGATAGACATGGTCATAGACATACTGCTTGAGATACACACACACAAATGAATACAGGAGGTTGGACTAGATTACCTTTGGGGGGTCCCCTGGAGCTCTATACAGAGAGATAGACATGGTCATACAAATACTGATATAGATACAAATGCATTCAGGGGTTGGACTGGATGGCCTTTGGGGGTCCCTTGGAGCTCTATGGTGCACACAGATGCACACTGGGGGTTGGGCTAGATGACCCTTGGGGGTCCCCTGGAGCTAGGCATGGACATAGAGGCACTGGAGATACACACACAAATGCACGCCGGGGTTGGACTGGATGGCCATTGGTGGCCCTTTCCTCCTCTAGGACTGCCTAGATGGCCCTCTTTTAGGAGGGATGGAATGGTGCCTTCCTCCCTTCCTTCCTGGCAGAGAGAGGGTGGGACTAGATGGCCTTTGGGGGTCCCCTGCAGCTCTATGGAGAGAGATAGCCATGGACATAGAGATACTGATTTAGATACAAATGCATTCAAGGGGTTGGGCTGGATGGCCTTTGGGGGTCCCCTGGAGCTCTATACAGAGAGATAGACATGGATATATAGGCCTGGATGGAGATACACACACAAATGCACACCGGAGGTTGGACTACATGGCCTTTTGGGGTCCCTTGGAGCTCTATAAAGAGAGATAGACATGGTCATAGACATACTGATTGAGATACGCATACACAAATGCACACAGGAGGTTGGACTAGATGGCCTTTGGAGGTCCCCTGAAGCTCTATAGATAGGGAGAGACATGGATAGATAGGTCCAGATGGAGATACACACACAAATGCATGCCGGGGTTGGGCTGGATGGCCATAAGGGGGTCCTTTCCTCCTCTAGGACTGCTTGGATGGCCCTCTGTCAGGAGGGATTGCATGGTGCCTTCCTTCCTGGCGGGAGGGGGGGGGGTTGGACTAGAAGGCCTTTGGGGTCCCCTGGAGCTCTATAGAGAGAGATAGGCTTTCCCATAGAGATACTAATTTAGATACACAAGTGCACACTGGGGGTTGGGGTGGATGGCCATTGGGGGTCCCTTCTTCCTCTAGGACTGCCTGGATGGCCCTCTGTCTGGAGGGATTGAATGGTGCCTTCCTCCCTTCCTTCCTGGCAGAGAGAGGGTTGGACTAGATGGCCTTTGGGGGTCCCCTGCAGCTCTATAGAGAGAGATAGACATGGCCATAGAGGCACTGATGGAGATATACACACACAAATGCATACAGGGGGTTGGACTAGATAGCCTTTGGGGGTCCCCTGGAGCTCTATAGAGAGAGATTGACATGGTCATAGACATTGATTGGGATACATACACACAAATGCATACAGGGGGTTGGACTAAATGGTCTTTGGGGGTCCCTTCTTCCTCTAGGTCTGCCTGGATGGCCCTCTGTCAGGAGGGATTGCATGGTGCCTTCCTTCCTGGCAGAGAGGGGGTTGGACTAGATGGCCTTTGGGGGTCCCCTGAAGCTCTATGGAGAGGGATAGGCATTCCCATAGATAATTTAGATACACAAGTGGACACTGGGGGTTGGGCTGGATGGCCATTGTGGGTCCCTTCTTCCTCTAGAACTGCCTGGATGGCCCTCTGTCAGGAGGGATTGCATGGTGCATTCCTTCCTGGCACAGAGGGGGTTGGACTAGATAGCCTTTGGGGGTCCCCTGGAGCTCTATAGAGAGAGATTGACATGGTCATAGACATTGATTGGGATACATACACACAAATGCATACAGGGGGTTGGACTAAATGGTCTTTGGGGGTCCCTTCTTCCTCTAGGTCTGCCTGGATGGCCCTCTGTCAGGAGGGATTGCATGGTGCCTTCCTTCCTGGCAGAGAGGGGGTTGGACTAGATGGCCTTTGGGGTTCCCTTGGAGCTCTAGGGAGAGAGATAGGCATTCCCATACAGATACTAATTTAGATACACACGTAGACACTGGGGGTTGGGCTGGATGGCCTTTGGGGGTCCCTTTGAGGGAGCTCTATGTGGAGAGAGAGGCATGTCCATAGAGATACTAATTTGGACGGACCATGCCTCCCTCCTCCCCTCCCCGCCTGGGACCCTCCCCCTGGCCTGCCCCTCCTCTGTATAAAGGCCCCTGGGCGGGCTCCGTCCCCTCAGAGGGCGCCATGGCGGGGTCTGGCCCGGGCGAGGCGGGGGCGGCGCTGGCGCTGGCGGGGCTGCGGGCGGAGGTGTCGGCGGTGCGGGCGGAGCTGGAGGCGCGCGTGGGCGAGGCGGTGCGGCTGTGGGCCCCGCTGGGAGAGGCGGTGGCGCAGGCGCAGTCCGAGGCAAGCGCCCTCCGCGCCCAGGTCGAGGCCCTCGCCCAGCAGGTGGCCGCCCTCGCCGCCAGGCAGCAGGTGAGCCCTGCAGGGAGGGAGGGAGGGAGGGAGGGGGAGGAGCCCAAGGAGGGGGGCGGAGCTTGTGTTTCATTGGACTCAGGAGGCGGGGCTACAGCTTCCTCTGTCCAAAGAGAGAGGTAGGAGAAGCCAGCCAGGAAGGGGCGGGGTTAGGGCCGCTCAAGGGGAGGAGACTAAAAAATGACTGACGCCCAGCTTGTGCCAATGGAGGATCCAGTTAGGAGGGGGCGGGGCTTCTGAAGGGGAGGAGCCTAGAGAGTGAGTGACGCCCATCTTGTGTCAATGGAGACTGGAAGATAGGGCCGCTCAAGGGGAGGAGCCTAAAAAGTGACTGACGCCCACTTTGTCTAGAGTTTGTGGAGGAGACACCTAGGAGGGGGTGTGGCTAGAGCTGTGCAGGGGGCGGAGCCAAAGTGAGGCGAGGAATTGCATTGCGTTGCATTGGAACTGAGGCTGGCAGGGGGCGGGGTCTCTGAAGGGGAGGAGCCTAGCTTGACTACCTAGAAGGAGGCGGGGAATTGCATTTCATTGCTTTGGCCCTGAGGCTGGCAGGGGGCGGGGCTCTAGGGGGAAGTGGGAGGGGCCTAAATAGGGGTGGGGCCTAAAGAGTGACTGACTCCCAGCTTGTGCCAACGGAGGCTGTGGAGGATCCAGCTACGAGGGGGCGGGGCCAGAGCTCTGCAGGGGGCGGGGCCAAAGAGGCGGGGAATTGCATTGCTTTTGGACTGAGCCTGGCAGGGGGCGGGGCTTCCAAAGGGGAGGAGCCTAGAGAGTGACTGACGCCCAGCTTGTGCCAATGAAGGATCCAGTTAGGAGGGGGCGGGGCTAGGGCTGTGCAGGAGGCGGGGAATTGTATTGCTTTTGGACTGAGGCTGGCAGGGGGCGGGGCTTCTGAAGGGGAGGAGCCTAGAGAGTGACTGACGCCCAGCTTGTGCCAATGAAGGATCCAGTTAGGAGGGGGCGGGGCTAGGGCTGTGCAGGAGGCGGGGAATTGTATTGCTTTTGGACTGAGGCTGACAGGGGGCGGGGCTTCGGGGCCAAAGAGGCGGGGAATTGCATTGCTTTTGGACTGAGCCTGGCAGAGGGCGGGGCCTATAGAGTGACTGACGTCCAGCTTGTGCCAATAGAGGGGCGGGGCCTAAAAAGGGACGGATAGTTGCATTGCTTTGGGACTGAGGCTGGCAGGGGGCGGGGCTCTGGCGGGAAGTGGGAGGAGTCTAAAGAGGGGCGGGGTCTAAAGAGTGACTGACGCCCAGCTTGAGTCAATGGAGGCTGTGGAAGAGCCAGCCAGGAGGGGGCGGGGCTAAGGCTATGTAGGGGGAGGAGCCTGCACAGCCCTTGCCTTAGCATTGCATTTGAGTCTGGTAGGGGGCGGGGCTCTGGAGAGAGGTGGGAGGAGCCTAAAGAGGGTGGGCGGAGCCAGTCAGGAGGGGCGGGGCTCCGGGGACAAGGGAGGAGCCTAAAGAGTGACTGATAGCCAGCTTGTCTCAAGCCCTTCACTCCCTTTCTATCTGCAAGGCCGCCCTTTCTTCCTTCCATGCACACCACTTGGATCCTTCCCGACAGATGGCCACCCAGCCGGCCACAGAGAGGATGGATATGGCTATATAGGCGAAGATAGACATAGATCTGATTGAAAGAGATCTGTCATAGAACCCTAGAGTTGGAAGGGACCCCATAGGGCATCCTATAATAATAATAATAATAATAATAATAATAATAATACAAAGGCACCCTCAATCCTTCCCGACAGATGGCCAGAGACCTGATTGATGTGCATATGGTTAAAAGAGATCTGTCACTGAATCCTGGAGTTGGAAGGGACCCCATAGGGCATCTCTATAATAATAATAATAATAATAATAATACAAAGGTACCCTCAGTCCCTCCCGACAGAGATCTGATTGATGTGCATATGGGTCAAAGAGAGCTATCACCTAACCTTAGAGTTCGGAGGGATCTCATAGGGCATATCTATAATAATAATAATGCAAAGGCACCTTTTAATCCCTCCCGACAGATGGCCACCCAGCCATAGACAGATGGACAGAGATCTGATTGATGAGCATATGGTTAAAAGAGATCTGTCACTGAACCCTAGAGTTGGAGGGACCCCATAGGGCATCTCTATAATAATAATAATAATGATAATAATAATAATAATAATAATAATGCAAAGGCACCTTTAAATCCCTCCCAACAGATGGCCACCCAGCCATAGACAGATGGACAGAGATCTGATTGAAAGAGATCTGTCACTGAACTCTAGAGTGGGAAGGGACCCCAAAGACCATCCAGTCCAACCCTTTTTACCTACTGTCAAGGAGGAGCCCATCAGATCCCTCTTGCCAGATGACCATCTGGACCCTGTGCTTGAAACCCTCCCTCTCTCTTGCTTGGACAGGGCCTGGACCTGGAGGGCGCCCACCCCCAGCAGAGGAGGAGGAGCAGCAGCCAGGCCCTCTTGGTGGAGAATGGGCCCTCCGTTGAGGAGAAGGAGGGTCCCCCAGGTGAGGAGCCAAGGGCACAGGACCCCCCCCCCCTTCATTGATAGACAGTGGGGCGGGCGGCTTGGCTGCAAGGCCTTCCTTCCATTTTCTTTCCGCAGGTCACGATCCGGAGGCTGCGCTGCCATGCAGGGCACACCTCCCGGTGACGGCGGTGACCAAGGGGGAGATGCACGGCCACAACAGACAGGAAGGGCCCAGGGACCCCTCCCAGACAGGTAAGGCAGGGAGGAAGAAAAGAAGGAAGGAAGGAGGGAGGGAGGGAAGGAAGGAGGGAGGGAAGGAAGGGAAGAATGATGAAAGGCAGGAAGGAAGGAAGACTGGAAGGAAGGAAAGAAGGAAGGGAGGGAATGATGGATGGATGGATGGATGGATGGACAGAAGAAACAAAGGAAAGAAAGAATGATGAAAGACAGGAAGGATGTAGAGATGGAAGCAAAGAATGAAGGAAGGAAGGATGGACGGAAGGGAGGAAGGAAGGAAGACAGGATGGATATAAGGAATGATGGATGGACAGAAGGTAGGAAATAAAGAATGACGAAAGACAGGAAGGATGAATAGATGGAATGAAAGAAGGAAGGAAGGATGGAAGGATTGATGGATGGAAGGATGGTTAGAATGAAACAAGGAAGGAAGGAAGGGAAGAACAATGAAACACAGGATGGATGGATGGAGAGAATGTATAAAGACAGGAAGGATGGCTAGATGGAAGGAAATAATTAAAGATGGGTGGATGGATGGAAGGAAGGAAGAATGGATAGAAGGAAGGAACAAAAGAAGGAGGGAGGAAGGAAAGGAAGAATGAATGATGAAAAACAGGAAAGATGGATAGATGGAAGGATGGATGGAATGGAAGGAATGATGGATGGAAGGAAGGAAGGAATGAATGATGAAAGGATGGATAGATGGAAGGAATGATGGATGGGTGGAAGGAAGGAAAGAATGAATGATGGAAGAAAGACAGGATGGATGGATAGACGGAAGAGTTCTGCCCTGCTCTGTGCCTTCCTTTCCCTTCCTCATTTATTGTTGTTGTTGTTTATCCTGTATTGTTTATCCTATTATTGTCTATCCTATATTGTTTATCCTATTATTGTCCATCCTATATTGTTTATCCTTCCTTCCTTCCAGATGGGAGCCCTTCCACCCAGATCCCGCTGCAGGCCCGGGTGTCCAGCTCAGCCCCGAAGTTCCCTGCGCCCCTCTCAGGTCAGAAGTCACCTTTCCCCTTCTGCCCCAAAGAGAGAGGGAGAGAGAGAGAGAAGAGTCCCTATGAAACCTCCGCTGATCCCTCTTCCTTTCCTTTCCTGCTTTTGTGCAGAGCGGTTCTCCTCCTCCGTGCCGGCCATCAGCACCGAAAGGTGAGCTCCTCCTTTGAGGGTTACAGGGTCAGGCTAGATACCCTCTCAGGGCTCCTCCAATAGGGGTCTTTTTACCCCCACTCTGCTGTCCCACCCCAGCAGCCCAACCCTCAAGGGCAGCCCACTCGCCTCTCCTCTTGACCCGGCGGTCAAGCCGCAGGCCGAGCGGCGCAAGGAGCTGGTCCGGTCGCAGACACTGCCACGCACTTCGGGGGCACAAGCGCGCAAGGCCCTGCTGGAGAAGTTCGAGCAGGATACCGGAGGCGGACGAGGAGGAGGGAGGTACATATCTATCTCTATATATACAAAATATCAAATGTAATTATTATATATAATTATTAATATGTATTGTTATATATAATATTATTAATATATATGTATATTATATATAATTATTGATATTTATTTATATAAATAATTGTTATTATCATCATATTAGATTATTATACTATTACAATGGCAGATGGCTATCCAGAACTAGATATTACACACACACACACACACACACATATATATATATATAATATAGATATTATAATTATTATATTATATATCATTATATTAGTATATTATCATCTTCATATTAGATTATTATGCTATTACAATGACAGATGACTACCCAGACCTAGATTTATACACACACACACACACACACACACATATATCATATTAATATGTATTATATATTTATATATAATACCTAGATACTATAATTATTATATTATATATCATTATATTAGTATATTATCATCTTCATATTAGATACTATTACAATGACAGATTGCTACCCAGACCTAGATATTATATATATATATATATATATATATATATATATATAAAATTGATATTAATATTTATTATATATTTATTATATGTATCATAGGACCCTTAGAGACGCCATCAAAGCCCTTCTGACAGATGGCTATCCAGTCAAAGATGGGGTAGAGAAGGACCCCACAGAAGGCAATGGGGGAAGGACTTAGCTGCCTCCTCGTTGAGGACTAGCACCTTGTGTGGGATGTGTGTGCGCGTTGCAAGCAGCTCTAGCCAACTCGAGCCGTGAAGAGAAGTGTGGAAGGAATACACTGATGGTGATGGTTATTATTCCTTGCAGGGGGAGAGGCGGGGGGCGGCCCAAGCTGCAGCGCTCGCAAAGCCTGGGGGTGACCAGCGCCAGCGGCATCAAGCAGATCCTGCTGGAGTGGTGCCGCTCCAAGACCATCGGCTACAAGGTCGGTCAAGCGGGATCACACCCCTTCTCATAACCTTGACCGCTTGACCACTGACCCGTGACCTCTCCTTTCCCCCTTCTCCAGCACATCGACCTGCAGAACTTCTCCAGCAGCTGGAGCGACGGCATGGGCTTCTGTGCCTTGGTCCACTCCTTCTTCCCCGAAGCCTTCGATTACCAGGCGCTGCAGCCTGGGAAGCACAGGGAGAACCTCGAGACGGCCTTCAGCGCTGCGGAGTAGGCCACACCCCCTTTACATATCGGGGAGGGTCTAGGTGGACTCAAGAGTCCCCGTCCCATTTGCTGGGCACATCCTGCACAAGTTTACAGTCCTCATCAAGGACTGAGGTGGGAAGAGGATGAGATAGTTGGCACAGAAACACCTCATTGGCCACTCTGCCTGCCCGTCATTACTGCCTCCTCCTATTCCCTTCCTTCTCAGGGGCACACCCCTTTTTATTCAAATAGCCCTCTTCCCTCCTCCTATCCCCTTCCTCCTTGGGGACACGCCCCTTTTTATTCAAATGACCCTCTTCCCTCCTCCTATCCCCTTCCTTCTATGACTGACACCCCTCACAGGCACGCCCCCTTTTCTTGAGCACATGGCCAGCCTGCTCTTCTTCTCCTGTGAGCATGGAGAGAGGCAAGATGTCTGCTGCGAGAACGAGATAGTTGAGTAGTTAGCTAGTCCCCCATTTTTTTTAGGGTCACGTTTGAATTCTGCGTCAACCAACCCCAGGTATCCCTCCCTTTGCAGGAAGATGGCCGGCTGTGACCGTTTGATCGAAGTGGAGGACATGCTAGCCATGGGGCGCAAGCCGGACCCCATGTGCGTCTTCACCTACGTCCAGTCGCTCTACAACCATTTGCGGCGCTTCGAGTGAGAAGAACGGGGGCCGGGACCCCCACCTCATTTCATTCACATTTATCTCTGCATATGTACTTACTCTTCTATTTATGTGTGTGTGTGTGTTTATATATAAATACATACATACAGCCTGTCCCCAAGTTACAAACAAGAGAGGTCCTGTGGGTTTGTTCTCAAGCTGAATCTGTATGTAAGTCAGAACTGGGAGATTTTTTAAGTGCAACTTGAGCCATCTATTTATTTATTTATATATTTATAAATAAATATATATGTATATACATATACCCACAGTACAGTCTCACTTATCCAACCTTCACTCCAACGTTCTGTATGATCCAATGCTTCCCGCCCGGATCCACAGCTGTTTCAATACATTGTGATGTTTTGGTGCTATTTCTGTCCATGTGTTTTGGTGCTTAATTTGTAAAACTATAATGTAATTTGACGTTTAATAGGCTTTTCCTAATCCCTCCGTATTATCCAACATTGTCACTTATCTGACCTTCTCCCGGCCCGTTTATGTTGGGCAAGTGAGACTCTACTGTATATATAATTGAGTTTTGGATCAAATAGGGAAGGGTTCACAACCCTTGTAACGTTTCCTTTGCGGTCTGTGCCTCTGTTCAGAAGATAATATGTTATTATAGGATAAAATAATATTTGCAACTCGGGGACAGCCTGTATGTCATAATATTATAATATATTATGATGATGATAATATAATATTTGTACCTTGGGAATGGCCTGTATATAATAATAATAATAATAATAATAATAATAATAATAATTGGCACAAGCCAGTCAAGGTGGTCCCAGTAGTGATTGGCACACTGGGTGCAGTGCCTAAAGGCCTTGGTCTGCACTTAAACACAATCGGTGCTGACAAAATTACCATCTGCCAGCTGCAGAAGGCCACCTTATTGGGATCTGCACACATTATTCGCCGATATATCACACAGTCCTAGACACTTGGGAACTGTCCGATGTGTGATCACATCGGACAGTTCCCAGAGTGATCTTGTCTGCAGAGTAATCTTGTCTGCTGTGGATTCATCTTGTTGTGTTTCAAATAATAATAATAATAATAATAATAATAATAATATAATACAATATTTGTATCTTGAAAATGTATTGTATATATTATTATTATTATTATTATTATTATTATTATTATGGGATAATATCATATTTGTGTCTTGGAAACGCCCTGTATATAATAATAATAATTATTATTATTATTATTATTGGATATCATATTTGTCTCTTGGGAACACCCTGTATATTATAATATTATTATTACGTATTATTATTATTGTGTATTATTATTATAGGATAATATATTTGTATCTTGGGAACACCCTGTATATTATTATTATTATACGTTATTATTATAGGATAATATAATATTTGTATCTTTGGAATGGCCTGTAAAATAATAATAATAATAATAATAATAATAATAATAATAATAATAATTTATTATAGGTTAATATAATATTTTTAACTTGGGGACAGCCTGTATATTATATTATTATTATTACTGTTTGTTGTTGTTGTTATTATTATAGGACAATATATATTTGTAACTCGGGGACGGCCTGTACATGGGAAATAAAGATAAAGTGTCATGCTGTGAGGAAATGGCTTTTTGTCCAGTGGCTGCTCTGTTGGGCATTTATTAATAGATGAAATGAATCAGCTTGGTAGCAGCCGGAGCTGGATTGTCATCTGTCAGGAGGGCTTTGATTGTGCCGTGGTAGAATGGGATGTTCAGGGTTTATATATATACATACATATATATATATGTATCATAGATGCATACGTTTCATATAATCTCCACCATGTATCCCACTCGCCTTAAAATAAAAGTAATAATTTCTGCCTAATTTATTCACATATTATTATATTATATTTTAAATTACAATGTTATTATATTATTTTAATATATATATTATAATCAATATTTTAATATATTATTCTTCACATTTTTATTATATAATTTTAAATTACATCATTATTTTTATTATATTATATTTTTGATATATTGATATTTATATTATTACATTATTCATATTTATATTATTTTATTACATTATTTATATTTTTATATTATTATTATTTGTCATGTCAGGAGCGACTTGAGAAACTGCAAGTCGCTTCCGGTGTGAGAGAATTGGCCATCTGCAAGGACGTTGCCCAGGGGACGCCTGGATGATTTGATGTTTTTATCATCCTTGTGGGAGGCTTCTCTCATGTCCCCGCAAGAGGAGCTGGAGCTGATAGAGGGAGCTCATCCACCTTTCCCCGGATTCGAACCTGCGACCTGTTGGTCTTCAGTCCTGCCGGCACAGGGGTTTAACCCTGTTATTATTATTGTTATACTATTTTATTACATTATTATTATACTATGATTGGGAGTCCAAAACAACTGGGGGCTTAGTCCCACCTTCTCATTCATGCATTCCATTCATTCATCACTTCATTCATTCATTCATTCGCCGGCGGCCAATCAGGGCCAAGCTTTGGAACCCCGCCCCCTGGAGGCATCTCCGGTCCCCATGGCGACGCATGTGTTGCTTTGGTACACACTGTGAGTCTCCCTCTCTTGGCCTGAGAGCCATATCACCCTCTGAGGCCTCTCTCTCAGTATTGGCAGCAGCCATGGCCAAGCTAATGGAGGCTCCCCCCAAGTTCCTGCTGCCCGAGTGGCGCCTCTCCCACAAGGCCCAGTGCAGCGGTGCCGAGGCCCAGCGCTCCCAGTCCGAGCGCAATGTGGCCGAGAGCCAGAGGCTGGTGGAGGAAGTGGAGCGCTGCACCCAGAAGGCCCAGGGAGACTCCAGCAAGAGGATCGGTAACACCACCTTCCCATCTTCCTTCTTTCCTTCCTCTTCCTCTCCTCCCTCCAGTCTTCCACTTTCTTCCATCTACCACCCTTACCTTAACTTCCCCCTATTTTCCTTTCTCCTCTTTCCCTTCTCCCTTCCTTTCTTCCTTCTCCAACACGCTCATTTGTTGTCACCCATTTTCCTTTCTTCTTGCCTTCCTTTTGTCTTTCCTTCCTTTCTCTCTCCTCCCTCCACTTTCTTCTATCTTTCCCTGCCTTTCCCTTTTCCTTCTCTTCTTCTTTCTTCCCTTCCCTTTTATTTCCTTTCTCTTATTTCCCATTCTTTCCTTTRTCCCCTTCCTTTTTTCTCTTCCTTCCTCTTCATTTCTCTTTCCTTTCCTTTCTCCTTCTTTTCATTTTCTTTCCTTTCCCTTCTTTTCCTGTCTCTGTCTTTCCCTTTCCTTCCCTTCTTTTCCATTCCTTCCCTTTTCCCRTTCCTTTTTATTTTCTTTTCCTGACTCTGTCTTTCCCTTTTCTTTTCRTTCCCTTCTTTTCCATTCCTTCCCTTTTCCCTACCTTTCCCTTCTTTTTTCTTTTCCTTTCCCCATCCTCTTTTTTCTCCTTTCCTTTTTCCCCTTTCCCTTCCTTTCCTTTGCCTTATTTGCTTCCCCTTCCCTTTTCTTTTTATTTCCCTTTACTTTTCCTGTCTTTCCCTTTCCTTTCTTCCACTTATTTTCAATTCCTTCCCCCTTTCCCCTTCTCTTCCTTCCTCCTCCTTTCTCTCCCATTCCTTTCTCTTTTCATTTCTCTTTCCCTTTCCTTCTTTCTTTCCCTTCCCCTCCCTTGCCTTCTTTTCAATTCCTTCTCCCTTTCCCCATTTTTTCCTTTCCCTTTCCTTCCTTTCCCTTCCCTTCTTTTCCTTTCCTTTCTTCCCCTTCCTTCTTTTCAATTCCTTCCCCTTTTCCCTTCCCCTTCTTTTTCCTTTCCCTTTCCTTCCTTTCTTTCCCTTCCACTTCATCCCCTCCCCTTTTCTTTCTTTTCCATTCACCCTTTTTTCTTTCCCTTTCTTTCCCTTTCCTTATTTTCTTGCTTCCCCTTCCTTCCCTTTTCCTTCTTTTCCATTCCTTCCTCTTTCCCTCCTTTACTCTTTCCCTTCCTTCCTCACYTACACCTTTATTGATCTTGATCTGCAAACTAGCCTTCCTTCCTTCCTTCCTTCCTTCCTTCCTTCCTTCCTTCCTTCCTTCCTTCCTTCCTTCCTTCCTTCCAGGACAGGCCTGGACCAACTCGGGCCTTCCCTCCAGGTGTTTTGGACTCCAACTCCCACAATTCCTAACAGCTTACTGGAGGGAAGTTGGCCCAAGTTGGCCCGGGCCTGTTCCATGGGGAGGGTCTCGTTGACTCCCTGCTCATCCCTCCCACCCAGAGCAGCGGCTGGAGGAGATCGGTTTCTGGCGGGAGCAGCTGCGGGAGAAGCTTGACCACTTGGCCGAAGAGACCGAGGCCCTGATGGACGCTGAGGTCCGGCTGCGGAAAGGCATGGAGGGCATCCGGGAGCCCCTCCTCATCACCCAGCAGTGCCTCCTCAACAGGTGCGTCCAATCATCATCATCATCACCATCATCATCATGGAGGGACCTTTCTCCCTCCATGAAAATAATAATAATAACAATAATAATGGTAAGAATAAGAATATAAAATAAATAATATAAAATAATAAGAATAATAAATCTTCCTGCTTGGGTGCCCTTGGAGTCTCTTCTCCATGAATAATAATAATAATAATAATCATCATCATCATCTTTAAGAAATGGGGCCACAAAGTGGAGTCCACGACATGCCAGTGCAGAGAAGAGCAAACCACGGACTATAATGCAGCCTGAGCCCTGCCACATACACACTGGAGGACCTTCTCACAGCCACACAAGAAGCACTCCCAAGTGGCCAGCTTCTGGTCAAAGGACATTTAATATAACGCCAAGTTCTATTAACTTTCTTTGTGTTTTTTTTAAAAAAGCATCACAACTGTAATCTTGGTTCGCTTCTGATACGATAAATAAATAAATCCCTCCACGAATAATATAATAATAATAATAATAATAATAATAATATAATAATAATAATAATATAATAATAATAATAACTGGCCTCCCTTCTCCCTTCATGAATATAATAGTAATAATAACAATAACAATAAAACTACCTACTTGGGTGCCCTTGGGGTTTCCTTTCCCTCCATGAACATAATAATAATAATAATAATAATAATAATAATAATAATAATAATAATAACCTTCCTGCTTGAGTGCCCTTGGACTCCCTTCTCCCTCCATGAATATAATAGTAATAATAATAATAACAATAACAACAAAACTTCCTACTTAGGTGCCCTTGAGGTCCCCTTTCCCTCCATGAATATAATAATAATAATAATAATAATAATAATAATAATAATAATAATGATCCTTCTTACTTGGGTGACCCTTGGGGTCCCTTTTCCCACCATTAATAACAACAACAACAACAACAACAACAACAACAATGATCCTTCTTACTTGGGTGTCCCTTCGGGTCCCTTTTCCCTCCATTAATAATAATAATAATAACAACAACAACAACCCCTCCTGCTTGGGTCCCCTTGGGGTACCTTTTTCTCCATGAATAAAATAATAGTAATAATAATACTAATAATAGTAGTAGTAATAATAATAATCCCTTCTCTATGAATATAATAATGGATGGATGGCATCCTTGAAGTGACTGAATTGACCTTGAAGGAACTGGGGGTGGTGATGGCCAACAGGGAGCTCTGGCATGGATGGATGGCATCCTTGAAGTGAGTGGATTGACCTTGAAGGAGCTGGGGCTGGTGACGGCCAACGGAGCTCTGGCGTGGGCTGGTCCACGAGGTCACAAAGAGTCGGAAACGACTGAACGAATGAACAACATGAAAATAATAATAATAATAATAATAATAATAATCCTTCCAGTGTCCCTTCTCCCTCCATGAATAAAATAATAATAATAATAACTACTGATCTTGAACTGGAACTACACCTTGTCATAATAATAATAATCTTCCTGCTTGGTAAGATTGGGTTGGACTAGATGGCCACTTGGGAGTCCCTTCTCACTCCATGAACATAATAATAATAATAATCATCATCATCTTCCAACTTGGCAAGATTGGGTGGGACTAATGGCCACTTGGGGTCCCCTCTGAGTATTATAATAATAAGATAGATAGATAGTAATATAATAGTAATTCTATCCTAATGATGATGGAATTGCCATACCTGGAGGTTTGGAGGAGAGGTTGGGTGGCCATCTGTCGGGAGGGTCTTGATGATGCCTTTCCTGCATGGAGGCTGAAGGAAAGGGATTGGGCTGGATGGCCTTTGGGGGCCCCTTCTCGCCCGCTGGATCGTCCCCCTCCTTCCGGGCAGGGAGCGCCGCGTGGGGCCGGACCTGGTGCGGGACGAGGCGGAGAAGGAGCTGCAGAAGGAGGCCGAGGTGTTGCAAGGGGCAGAGGCGCTGATGGAACGCACACGGGAACAAGTCCTGGAACAGATCAGGTGAGAGGAGGGGAGCGAGGGAGGGGCTGCGCTGAAGCGTGCGGGACTTGGACTGACCTATTATGGATCCCCATATTGTTCCACAGCAAGGACATCTGTTTCCAGGTGAAAGGCGGTCCCAAGGGTTGGTTTGCCTTCTTCCTCTTGACACGTTTCTCCCAGGTCCATCCTCTTTAAAGATTTCAGCAGGGATCCCATCAGACCCGCTGGCTTTGTTATTTGAAGCCCATCTTTGAATCTCTTTTCCTGTCCATCAACATTCCGTTTTCCATTCTTGAGCTGAGAATTCTTGAGCTTTTCCATTCTTGAGCTGCTTTGGGAGATGGTGATCTTTGGGCATCTGGACAACATGGCATTCAGGGAGGGAGGGGCTGCGCTGAAGCGCACAGGACTCGGACTGACCTCAAACAAACCAAGGGACCAATGCATGCCTCTTCTTCTTCCGTATTCCCCCCTCATTTTAGGTTGAACCGCTCAGCCAAGTACACCGTGGAAAAGGACCTGGCCGACAAGGAGGCCGCCCTCAACATCGACACCTACTGCGCCGCCCTCAACAACAACACGCCCGACATCCGCTATGCTCAGAACGTGGTCAAAGTGGAGGAGAAGTGAGTCTCTGCAGAGGACCTTTCGTCATAGACTCAAACTCGGTCTGGGCCCATAACCCATTTTAGGTTTTTACCTTAGTCCTCTGTTCCTTAACTTGGTTGAGAAGTCAGAAGATGGATTGCTTTGCGCTAAGATTTGTTTAATCTAGTCATCCTGACTTCGTAATTAATTGTGAATATACTTTACCTATATGCAAATTGTACTCTTCCTCCGCTTTGCTTTAGCTCGGTCAGCCCCGAGGAGTGGATTGACTTCTCGGATGCCAACGCCAACAAGGCCGACCGCCAGCGGAACAACTCCAAGTCTCTGCAGGTCCTGGTTGACCGCATCCTGGCCCAGGTGGCCGCCGACGGGCGCAGGCAGAAGGCGGCCGCGGACAACGCCCTCCGGGAGCGCATCAAGGAGACCAAGGAGGCCAAGCGCATGCTGGAGGAGCACCTGGACAAGGCACAAGCAGGGGAGAAGGCGGGCTGGACGAGGTGGTCCTCGAGGGTCCGTCTGTGACGCCATCTTTTCTTTCCTGTCCCGAAGGTGATGGAGCAGATCGGCTCGCAAGAGAAGAACATCACGGCCCTGCGGAAGGCCATCGTGGACAAGGAGGGTCCAGCTAAGGTGGCACAGACCCGCCTGGAGGCCCGCACCTACCGGCCCAACGTGGAGCTCTGCCGGGACACGGCCCACATGCGCCTCATGCGTGAAGTCAATGAGATTGAGCGCAACATCTGCAGGTGGGTCCGTTGCGGGACCTTCGTGGGGGTGGCCCCTTTTGAGCCCCCGTACTGATGCTCCCTCCCGTTTGTGCACAACGCAGGTTGCAGGAGGCGCTGGCGCAGGCCGAGCGGGAGCTAAAGGGTCTCCTCCGGCGGCAGCTGTCCCTCGAGGAGGAGATCCAGGTCAAGGCCAACTCCATCTACATCGACGAGGTCCTCTGCCTGCAGATGCGGGAGTCCATCACCATCAACGATTTCTGACCTCACTAACCTCCCGTTCTCCATTGATTGATAGAGAAGAATAAAAGTCATAATAATCGGCGATCCCTTGTGTCCGAGTACGATTGCCTTCCAAGCGTAGAGTCTTGCCGGTGGCTCCGTAGGTGACTATAGAGGCCTATTATTGATCCCCATGTTGTTCCACAGTGAGGATATCAGTTTCCAGTTGGAAGGTGGTCTCAAGGGTTGGTTTGATGCGCCTTCTTCCTCTTGACACGCTTCTCCCAGGTCCATCCTCTTTAAAGATTTCAGCAGGGATCCCATCAACCCCGCTGGCTTTGTTATTTGAAGACCATATTTCAATCTCTTTTCCTGTCAATTAACATTCTGTTTTCCATTCTTGAGCTGAGAGTAAAGTAACTGTTCTCCCAGGTCCATCCTCTTTAAGGATTTTAGCGGGGATCCCATCAGACCCGCTGGCTTTGTTATTTGAATCCCATATTTCAATCTCTTTTCCTGTCAATCAACATTCTTTTTCCATTTTTGAGCTGAGAGTAAAGTAAATGTTCTCCCAGGTCCATCCTCTTTAAGGATTTTAGCGAGGATCCCATCAGACCCGCTGGCTTTGTTATTTGAAGTACATATTTCATTCTCTTTTCTTGTCAGTCAACATTCCGTTTTCCATTCTTGAGCTGAGAGTAAAGTAACTGTTCTCCCAGGTCCATCCTCTTTAAAGATTTCAGCAGGGATCCCATCAGATCTGCTGGCTTTGTTATTTGAATCCCATATTTCAATCTCTTTTCCTGTCCACCAACATTCTGTTTTCCATTCTTGAGCTGAGAGTAAAGTAACTGTTCTCCCAGGTCCATCCTCTTTAAGGATTTCAGCGGGGATCCCATCAACTCTGCTGGCTTTGTTATTTGAAGCCCATATTTCAATCTCTTTTCCTGTCAATCAACATTCTGTTTTCCATTCTTGAGCTGAGAGTAAAGCAACTGCTTTGGGAGAGGGTGGTCTTTGGGCATTTGGACAACGTGGCATTCGGTCCAGAGGAGTTGATGGTGGATGATCCTGACTTCAATGCTGGTGGTCTTTGCTACACTGACACTTGTCCACCTCTCTTCCCAAGAGATTTGAAGGATTTTCCGGAGGCAATGCTGATGGAATCATTCCAGAAGTCGAGAGTGATGTTTGTAGACGGTCCACGTTTCACACAACAGAGATGGGAGGACAATAGCTTTATAAACAAGGGGGGAGGGTCTTTGGAGGCTCACCCACCCACTAACAACAACTACAACAACAATAATAGGGAGGAGGGGGTGTTGGGGGTCACTTCCTGGGTGAGGCCTCTGGCCTATCTCTTCGAAACAATAACACGGAAAGAAGCCACGTCCTCGTCATTCTCAAAAAGGGGAAAGCAGAGAGGGAAAGAAACCAGCTCTTTCTCTTTTCTTTCTTTCCCCATCGCACTGGGCCACAGCAACGCATGGCCGGGTACAACTAGTAGTTTTATAAACAAGCATCTTCGTCTCCCTATAAATGTCCCGATCCTTAAACAGTTGGCAAGCTATTTAACTTCAGCAGACCGAAAGACAAAACCAAGGCCACAACAACATGTGATAGAACTCCAGTACGCTGATGATAACATAGTCTATGCTCATTCAGAAGGCCTACAAACACTCTAAACATCTTTGCAGAAGCCTGCAAAAAGCTTAGACTCTCACTGAACATCGAGAAAACCAAAGTGCCCTTTTAGCAAAAGGCACCAGCCAATCCCTCTGCAATGCCACAGAAGTCAACACTGACACTGAAATACACCATCTGAGCTCTGCGAGCGCAGCATTTTCTTGAATAATAAAAGTATTGCAGCGCCCGAGTGTCTCCTTCAGTCTTGAGCAACACCAAGGAGCCTTAGCGATAATATTATCATCATCATCAATGACACCCGTATTTCCTCGAATCTATTGCTCACATTTTGGGGCTCAATGACCTGGTTGCACATTAGACCCGTGCCATGCTCAGCTTTCCCGCCACCCTCAAGTCCCGCAAGGATCGCCCACATTCAGCCTTGGGTGCAAATGGTACTCCTTTTATTCTCCATCGGGCAGATAACGGTGGACACAAGGCACCAAGGGTTAGTCTGAATGGGTATTGGAAAAGTCATTCTTTGCAGGGGACGGGGTGTGTGTGTGTGTTTCACTGCAAGCTCTTCTCTTCTGAGGGGCTCGGCACTTCTGCAAGACAAAGACGAGAAAAAGATCACTCCTATTCGGGATGGGAAGACGGGGAAGGATGAAGGGGAGAAAGATGGCGGCCATTATTACCTTCTTTGCCCAAGAAGCGGGGACTTCTCCGCAGCGCCTGCCCCTGGCACTTCCTCTAAAAGGGAGACAGGAAAGGCAGGCGTGAATGGAGAGCGGATTCAGCTCGAAGAAAGCTGTATTAGATAGGAATGCTGTGCTATGAAATCTCTGCTAACTGTAACCAAGACTCTGCAGTGTTTTGGGGATTGGAACGAATTGCTTGCCTTCGGGACAGTGTGCTTATTAGAGGCAGTGAGCTACTAAACAAGATCAGAGGCTGTGCTATGAAATCTCTGCTAACTGTAACCAAGACTCTGCAGTGTTTTGGGGATCGGAACTAACTCCTTGTCTTCGGGACATTGTACTTATTAGAGGCGGTGAACTACTAAACAAGATCAGAGGCTGTGCTATGAAAACTCTGCTAACTGTGACCAAGACTCTGCAGTGTGTTTTGGATGGCCTTTGGGACGGTATGCTTCTTAGATGCTGTGAATGAGATCAGAGACTATGCTATGAAATCTTTGCTAACTGTAACCAAGACTCTGCAGTGTTTTGGGAATTGGAACTAATTGCTTGCCTTCGGGACAGTGTGCTTATTAGAGGCAGTGAGCTACTAAACAAGATCAGAGGCTGTGCTATGAAATCTCTGCTAACTGTAACCAAGACTCTGCAGTGTTTCGGGGATCGGAACTAACAGCTTGCCTTGGAGATAGTCTGTCCTGTTACGCAACTTGAGGAGGAATTTGCACGCCTACCTAGTCAGTGTTGTGTGTTTTCTCTTCTAACCCCACGACACTTCAAGCCATTTCCGTGTCCAATAATTACCTGATGCTTCCTCAAAGTGGGGCCGGGGAGAAGGATGTTGCAGCGGGAGCAGCTGGCCAAGTGGTTGTAGGCGTCCTCAACATCCTCCGCTTCGAGGGGGGATTGCACTGTCGGGGTGAAGGTCAGTGATCCGTGGGCCCTTCTGCTCTTGGGGGGCTTGAAGGAGGGCCTTCCCAGCCGCGAGGGGGGTTCCTTCTCCTTCTTTTTGGGGCGGACAACGGCCTCCTCGGTGCTGAGGCCCCCCAGGAGCCGAGGGAGGGGGCAGCATTGGTCCTGGAGGAGGAAGAGGGGTGGGGGAGTGGGGTCAAACCTGTCGGAATTCAACCCCATGCCGCTCACGCCTGTAGTCCTCAGTGAGAAGCAGATGGATAGAATCAAGCGAGGCCGAGGAAATCCCTTTCCCCCCCCCCCCGTCATTTCCTGAATGCCTGTTCTGTTTTATTTATTTTATTTATTTACGACGTTTATATGCCGCCCTTCTCACCCCAAAGGGGACGCAGAGCATCTTACAAGTTATATGTAAATACAATATATTATATTATTAGCATAGCACAATATTAGTAACACACATTCCCATATTGTACTACACCAGTATACTGCAAAATTATTAGTAATATTACATTTAATATGAAATATATAATTATTATATTGTATTACATTATATTATTATTAATAATAATATTATATGTGTATACAATATATTATATTATTAGCACAGCACAGTATTAGTATTATGTATTACTATATTTACTATACCACTATACTGTAATATTATTAGTAATATTACATGTAATGTAAAAATATAATTCTTAGAGTTTATTATTATATTGTGTTACATTATAATATTATTATCAATATTATATGAGTATACAATATATTATATTATTAGCACAGCAATATTAGTATTATGTCTTACTATATTGTACTATAGCACTATACTGTAATATTATTAGTAATATTACATGTAATATAAAATAAAATTCTTATATTTTATTGTTATTATATTGTGTTTCATTATAATATTATTATCAATATTATATGTGTATACAATATATTTTTATATTTTTTTTCTAATATATAATAAATATAATATAATATAATAATTATATTATCAATATTATATGTGTATGCAATATATTTTAATATGCTTTCTCCCCCTCTCTCTCCTTCCCGGAGTGTGGTGGAGGCTCCTTCTTTGGAAGCTTTTAAACAGAGGCTGGATGGCCATCTGTCAGGGGTGATTTGAATGCAATATTCCTGCTTCTTGGCAGAATGGGGTTGGACTGGATGGCCCATGAGATCTCTTCCAACTCTTTGATTCTATGATTCTAGACCATATTTACATTTTAGTCAGCTATGAAACTACAAGATGACCTGACACTCTTAAGAAAAAGCAGTTTGCTATTACAATGAAGACCGACAGGTTAGAGGTTCGAATCCAGGGAGAGTGCGGATGAGCTCCCTCTGTCAGCTCCAGCTCCCTATGCAAGGGCATGAGAGAAGCTTTTTCCCTCCTTTCCCTCTCCTAATGGCAAGAGGTCATTCATTTACAGAGGAAGGGCAGCCTTTTTGACTTGGCTTGGCTTCCTTGCACTGAAAACAAAACTGGGAGGCTTCCGAAGTTTACAAAATTCACACGGAAAAGTATTGGGTGAGTTTCGATTCTTACGTTTTCGGCCACGTGTCAGATATCTATTTTTATTTATTTATTTGGATTGTCTTTGGGATCACTTCCAGCTCTAGAATTATATTATTATTATTATTATTATTATTATTATTATTAGAAACACAACAAGATGGCTGTTGTATTGGATCACCCATCGGACAATTCTCAAGTTGTTGTTATTATTATGGTTAATTTACTGACACAAAAGCACAGTATATCACAGCAAACTAGATCTCTATGCTGGATTTCGTATCACAAAATCACAAGTCGAACACTTCCCAAGCGTCTAGGACTGTGTGCTGTATAATAATAATAATAATAATAATAATAATAATAATAATAATAATAATAATAGGTTGGATGGCCATCTGTTGGGAGGGGTTTTCCTTATGTATATTTATATTTATTTTTATTTACTGAGTAGAAATGCTGGAGATAAATAAATAAAAATATTGCATCCTGTTCCGATTTTTACGTTTTTGGTTGCACGTCGGATATCTATTTTTATTTATTTATTTGGATGGTCTTTGGGATACCTTCCAGCTCTAGGATTAAATTATTATTATTATTATTATTTGAAACACAATAAGATAAGTTCACAGCAGACACTCTGCTGGCTCTTGTATTGGATCACACATAGGACACCTCCCAAGTTGTTGTTGTTGTTGTTATTATTATTATTATTATTTTACTGACACAAAAACACAGTATGTCACAGCAAACGAGATCTATATGCTGGATTTCGTATCACAAAATCACAAGTCGAACACTTCCCAAGCATCTAGGACTGTGTGATGTTATTATTATTATTATTATTATTATTATTATTATTATTAATATTATATAATAATAATAAATTATATAATAATGTATTAATGTATAATAATAATAATAATAATAATAATGTATTATTATTATACATCACGCAGTCCTAGACGCTTGGGAAGAGAAAACACCATCCAACCCCTCCCAACAGATGGCCATCCAACCCTATTATTATTATTATTATTATTAATAATAATAATAATAATAATGGGGTTGGATGGCCATCTGTTGGGAGGGGTTGGATGGTGTTTTCACTTCCCAAGCATCTAGGACTGCGTGATGTATAATAATAATAATTATTATTATTATTAATAATAATAAATATAATTAATATTAATAATAATTAATATTAATAATAATTAATAATAATTAATATTATTTGAGTCCCCTTCAGGGTGAGAAAAGCAGTATACAAATACTGTAAATAAATAAATAAATAAATAATAAAAATAATAATAATTATTATTATTTTTAAGAGGTTGGATTTAAGGAAACTCAGTCTTAAGGAAGGACCATCCCATTCCTTCTTTCCTTCCTACCAGGTGTTGGAGGTGTTCTTCCTTGGGGATCCGGTGATGGCACTGCGGGCAGAGGACCGTCTTGGCTTCTGTGGAAAGGAGAAAGAGTGGCGTTGGCATAAGGGACACAAGGAAGGGTCATTGTCCGGAGTGACCGGCCATGCTCCTCTCACCTGCTCTCTGTCCACCGCTGCCAGGGCATTCCCAGCCGTGACCGTCCAGGGCCCGCAGCAGAACGTATTGCCCGCAGTCCCAGCAGCGCTCGGTGCGGCTGCCACAGGCCTCCTGGTGCGCCTCCAGCCGGCGGAAGGGCAGCCCCAGGTTGCAGAAAGCGCAGGTGGACGGGCGCTCCATGCACTGCTCCGCCTGAGGGGAAAACAAGGGGAGAGGGGGACAGTATTATTATTATGAGGCTGGGTGGCTATCTGGCGGGAGGGATCACATGGGGTCCTTCTTCCTGGCAGAATGGGGTAGGACCGGATGGCCTCTGGGGTCCCTTTCAACTCTAGGATTCTGTTGTTGTTGCTGTTGTTATTAAATAAACACAGACTTGATGGCCCTTGGGGTCTCCTTCCACTCTAGGATTCTATTACTATTATTGAGGCTGGATGAGTTTGGGGTTATATGGCAGAATGAGGTTGGACTGGATGGTCTTTAGGGTCCCTTCCAGCTTTAGAATTAAATTATTATTATTATGATGAGGTTGGATGGCCATCTGTTGGGAGGGATTGGATGGCAGTTTCCCTTATGGAGTAAGGGGCTTGGACTGGATGGTCTTTCGGGTCCCTTCCAGGTCTAGAATTAAATTATTATTATTATTATTATTATTATTATTAAGAGGTTCGATGGCCATCTGTTAAGAGGGATTGGATGGTGTTTTCCCTTATGGAGTAAGGGGGTTGGACTGGATGGCCTTTGGGGTCCCTTCCAGCTCTAGAATTGTTGTTGTTATTATTATTATTATTATTGCCTCCTCTCTCTCTCTCTCTCTCTCTATATATATATATATATATATATAAATCATATCTATGACTGTCTTATTTGGATGGCCATCTGTTGGGAGGAATCAGATGGTGCCTTCCCTTAGGGCACTATTATTATTATTATTATTATTATTATTATTATGACCCCCCTCTCTCTATATATATATTAATCCTATGACCATTTGTCTTTGGCTGGATGGCCATCTGTTGGGAGGGATCGGATGGTGCCTTCCTCTAGGGCACAATTATTATTATTATTATTATTATTATTATTATTATTATTATTATTATGACACCCTCCTCTCTCTCTCTCTCTCTCTCTCTATATATATATATATATATATATCTCTGAATGATATCTATGACCATTCATCTTTGGCTGGATGGCCATCTGTTGGGAGGAATCAGATGATGCCTTCCCTTATGAATCTATTATTATGCCCCCTACTCTCTCTCTCTCTATATATATATATGTATGTGTATGTGTATATATATGTGTGTGTGTATATATATATATGATATTTATGACCATTCATCTTTGGCTGGATGGCCATCTGTTGGGAGGAATCAGATGATGCCTTCCCTTATGAATCTATTATTATGCCCCCTACTCTCTCTCTCTCTATATATATATGTATGTGTATGTGTATATATATGTGTGTGTGTATATATATATATGATATTTATGACCATTCATCTTTGGCTGGATGGCCATCTGTTGGGAGGAATCAGATGATGCCTTCCCTTATGAATCTATTATTATTATCCCCCCCCCCCTCTATATATATATTAATCATATCTATGACCATACAGGATTGCAGAAGTCTCAAAAGCTAACAAATGAAACTGGTAGTAATGGAAGTCTAAAAATTCGTCTTTGGCTGGATGGCTATCTGTCGGGAGGGATTGGATGGTGCCTTCACTTATGGCACAATTATTATTATGACCCCCTCCTATCTATATATATTAATCATATCTATGACCATTCGTCTTTGGCTGGATGGCTATCTGTCGGGAGGGATTGGATGGTGCCTTCACTTATGGCACAATTATTATTATGACCCCCTCCTATCTATATATATTAATCATATCTATGACCATTCGTCTTTGGCTGGATGGCTATCTGTCGGGAGGGATTGGATGGTGCCTTCACTTATGGCACAATTATTATTATGACCCCCTCCTATCTATATATATTAATCATATCTATGACCATTCGTCTTTGGCTGGATGGCTATCTGTCGGGAGGGATTGGATGATGCCTTCCCTTATGGCACTATTATTATTATGACCCCCCTCTATATATATATATTAATCATATCTATGACCATTCGTCTTTGGCTGGATGGCTATCTGTTGGGAGGGATTGGATGGTGCCTTCACTTATGGCACAATTATTATTATGACCCCCTCCTATATATATATATTAATCATATCTATGACCATTCGTCTTTGGCTGGATGGCTATCTGTTGGGAGGGATTGGATGATGCCTTCCCTTATGGCACTATTATTATTACCCCCCCCCCTATATATATATATTAATCATATCTATGACCATTCGTCTTTGGCTGGATGGCTATCTGTTGGGAGGGATTGGATGGTGCCTTCACTTATGGCACAATTATTATTATGACCCCCTCCTATCTATCTATCTATATATTAATCATATCTATGACCATTCGTCTTTCTGTTGGGAGGGATTGGATGGTGCCTTATCTTATGGCATAACTATGTATTATTATGATGATGACCCCCTCCTCACCTGATGGTGCTCCATCCGGAACTGCTGCATGGCCTGATGGCAGAGAGGGCATCGGACCTGGAAAAAGGGCAGATGTCAACAGAAGGAGACCCCAAAACCCCTTCCCACTGGGGATTCCCGGTGCCAAGCCCCGCCCCCCTCCCAATCCTATTGGCCCTTGCCTGGCTGTGGGCCGCGGCCAAGTGGCCCTCCATGTCTCTCAGGGCCACCGTCTCCTCGCACTCGGGGCAGACGGACAGGAAGCGCAGGCAGTGGGCCTCGTGCAGGGCCAGGTTGGGGGCCGACACCGCCCGGCCGCTGGGGGTCAGAGAGAGAGAGGGAATTATGGTCATTACATCATCATCATCATCATCAACAACAACAACATAGACTTGGGACTTCCAAAGGCCACCCAGTCCAACCCCTTTCGGTCAAGTAGGGAGATGGAATTATTGATATCACATTATTATTGCTATTATTAGATTATAAAGCCATAGCGTGCTGGAGTTTAAATAATACATAAATATGTCATATTTGTATTATTATATATAATAATAAATGAATAACCATGGCACCCCTGAAGGCCATACAGTCCAGCCCCATAAAGGAGGGCACCGTTTGATCCCTCCTGACAGATGGCCACCCAGCCTCTGATTATAGAGGCATATCATACTGGAGTTTAAATAATAATACATAAATAAATCATATTTGTATTATTACACTAGCCATCCCCTGCCATGCGTTGCTGTGGCCCACATGGGGGTTCTGTGTGGGAGGTTTGGCCCAATTCTGTCATTGGTGGGGTTCAGAATGCTCTCTTGATTGTAGGTGAACTATAAATTCTAGCAACTACAACTCCCAAATGTCAAGGTCTATTTTCTCCAAACTCCACCAGTGTTCACAATTGGGCATATTGAGTATTCGGGCCAAGTTTGGTCCAGATCCATCATTGTTTGAGTCCACAGTGCTCTGGATGTAGTGAACTACAACTCCAAAACGTCAATGCCCACCAAACCCTTCCTGTATTTTCTGTTGGTCATGGGAGTTCTGTGTGCCAAGTTTGGTTCAATTCCATCGTTGGTAGGGTTCAGAATGCTCTTTGATTGTAGGTGAACTATAAATCCCAGCAACGACAACTCCCAAATGTCAAGGTCTATTTCCCCCAAACTCCATCAGTGTTTACATTTGGGCATATTGAGTATCCATGCCAAGTTTGGTCCAGATCCATTCTTGTTTGAGTTTAGAGTGCTCTATGAATATAGGTGAACTACAACTCCTAAACTCAAGGTCAATGCCCATCAAACCCTTCCAGGTTTTTTCTGTTGGTCATGGGAGTTCTGTGTGGGAAGACTGGCTCAACTACATCGTTGGTGGAGTTCAGAATGCTCTTTGATTATAGGTGAACTATAAATCCCAGTAACTACAACTCCCAAATGACAAAATCATAATTTTGAGTGATGGTCACTCCTTGTGTTGTGAGACGTTTTGTTGCCAAATTTGGTGTGATTTTGTTCATTGGTTCTTTTGTTTTTAAGGTACTCATTATGCACAGAGCATTTATATACATATATATATATATATATATATATATATAATTTGTTAGGGGCATCCAACGAGGAAACAAAACTCAAAACCCCCCCAACGAAACTTAACCAAAATTCCCATGCCCATAACACAACCCACAAGGTACAAACATATCTACTCAAAATGAAAAACAACACAACAAAACACTCACAAAACGGCAAAACAACTGAGCATGTGCATTGGCGCCGAGCCGCAAGTTCCCTGGCGCCCGCACACAGCCTTCGGGCCAATACACACACGCAACCCCACTCCCCCTGCTGCCGCACACACACACAACCCCACGCTCCATCACTCCCCCCACCGCCGCACACACACATGCAACCCCACTCCCCCTGCCGCCGCACACACAAACGCAACCCCACGCTCCATCACTTCCCCCGCCGCCGCACATACGCACACAACCCCACGCTCTATCACTCTCCTGCCCCAATCTTACCTCCTTTTACTTCACGCCACCTCCAAACCCCACCCCGCCCCTTCCCGCCCTGTCAAAATCCAGGAAAGACAGGAAGGAAGGAAAGAAGGAAGAAAGAGAAAGGGAGGTAAAGAAAAAGGGGGAAGGAAGGAAAGTTAGAGAAAGAAGGAAGAAGAAAAGGAAAGAAAAGGAAAGATGGAAGGAAAGGAAAGAGAGACAGCAGAAAAGAAAGAAAAAGGGGGAAAGAAGGAAAGAGGTAGAGAAGGAAGAAATTAGAGACAGAGGGCGGGAAAGAAAAAGGGGGAAGGAAGGAGAGAAGGAAAGAAAAAAGGGAATGAAGGAAGGAAAGAGGGAGTGAAGGAAGGGCGAAGATGTAGAGAAAGAGGGAGGGAAGGAAAGAAGGAAAGAGAGAAGGAAGAAAAGAGACCAGAAGAGAAAGAAAAAGGGGGAAGGAAGGAAGGAGAGAAGGAAAGAATGAAGGAAGGAAAGAGGGAGTGAAGGAAGGGGGAAGATGTAGAGAAAGAGGGAGGGAAGGAAAGAAGGAAAGAGAGAAGGAAGAAAAGAGACAGCAAAGAGAAAGAAAAAGGGGGAAGGAAGGAAGGAGAGAAGGAAAGAAAAAAGGGAAGGAAGGAAAGAGGGAGTGAAGGAAGGGGAAAGATGTAGAGAAAGAGGGAGGGAAGGAAAGAAGGAAAGAGAGAAGGAAGAAAAGAGACCAGAAGAGAAAGAAAAAGGGAAGGAAGGAAAGAGATAGAGAAGGAAGAGGAGAAGGAAAGATGGGAGGGAAGGAAGGAAGGAGGGAGGAAGAAGGAGAGAAAGAGGGAAGGTTGGCCACAGCAACGCGTGGCGGGTAAAGGTTGTTATTTCTATGATTATGATGATGCTATGATTCTTCCTCTGAGACCCTTTTAGGGGGAATGGGAGAGGTGTCAGGTCCCAGAGGCAATGCATTGCATTATTGTTATTGTTATGATGGTGGTGAAATAAAAGGAAATAAAAAGAGAAAGAAGGAAGCAAACAGGGAGGGAAGAAAGGCAAAGGAAGAAAGGGGGAGGGAATGAAGGAAAGAGAGAAGGATGAAACCAAGTAGTGAAAGAAGGAAAGAAAGAAAGAGGTAGAGAAGGAAGAAAGGAGAGAAAGGGGGAGGAAAAGGGGGAAGGAATAGGTAGGGACCTCTCTTTCATAATAGTCCAGATATCTACCTCAACTTTGATAAGTTTTACTATAGGCCACAGCAACGCGTGGCAGGGCACAGCTAGTAAATATAATAATAAATGAATAACCAAGGCACCCCTAAAGGCCATCCAGTTCATCCAGTCCCCCCAGACAGATGGCCACCCAGCCTCTGATTATGAAGCCATAGCAAGCTGGAGTTTAAATAACAAGACATAAATAAATCATATTTATATTATTATATATAATAATAAATGAATAACCAAAGCACCCTTGAAGGCCATCCATACCAGCTCCATAAAGGCACCATTCGATCCCCCCAGACAGATGGACACCCAGCCTCTGATTATAAAACCATAAGATGTTGGAGTTTAAAAAATAATACACAAATAAATCATATATTATTATATATAATAATAATAATAATAATAATAATAATAATAATAAATGAATAGCCAAGGCACCCCTGAAGGGCATCCAGTCCAGCACCATAAAGGAGGGCACCATTCGATGCCTCCCGACACATGGCCACACAGCCTCTGATTATAAAGCCATAGCAAGCTGGAGTTTAAATAATACATAAATAAATCATATTTATATTACTATATATAATAATAGAGTAACCAAGGCACCCCTGAAGGCCATCCAGTCCAACCCAATAAATTAAGGCACCATTCGATCCCCCCAGACAGATGGCCACCCAGCCTATGATTATAAAGCTATAGGATGTTGGAATTTAAATAATAAAGCATAAATAAATCACATTTATATTATTATGTATAATAATAAATGAATAACCAAGGCACCCCTGAAGGCCATCCCAATAAATTAAGGCACCATTCGATCCCTCCCGACAGATGGCCACCCAGCCTCTGATTATAGAGACATATCATACTAGAATTTAAATAATAATACATAAAGAAATCATATTTGTATTATTATATATAACAATAAATGAATAACCAAGACACCCCTGAAGGGCATCCAGTCCAGCCCCATAAAGGAAGGCACCATTCGATCCCTCCCGACAGATGGCCAACTCTTTACCAGTTTTTGCAGGCCCGCGTCGCCCCTTCTTCCCCTCCTTCCTCCTCCTTCCCTTCCATGGCTGACTTTGGCGGGGCTCCTCCGCCTTTCGCTTTCATTTCCGACCCTCCAGGCTCTGCTGCCAGAAAGAAACGAAACCGGTGGTTCGGATTTCCCCAATAATTCCTGTTTTGGGAGGAATCCTCCTCTGCCTTCGCCGTTGCAGTACCGGCGGGAGGCCACTGGGCGGCGGCAGAGGACTACCCTGCGCAGCTAAGCTTTGAACGCCGGGGAAACTCACCTTTTTCGGGGCGGCGCTTTGTCTTTCTTTGGCCAAAAGGGGGCGCCTCGGTCCCCGCGATGCCCCGCCCCTCCCGTGACGTCACAGAAGCCCTTGTGTGGCAGCCAATCCCCTGCCAGTGGGCGGAGCCACTCCCCTCTAAGCCCAGAACAGATAATAATAATAATAATAATAATAATAATAATAATAATAATAATAATAATAATAATAATAATAATAAT